ACACTTACCTGAACCATGTCTGATGACTCTTTTAGATATATTTGACCAAATATGGACGTCTGGAGAATTTCCTCCTTCAAGGCGTAATGCCATTGTAGTCCCAATACCAAAACCTGGCAAGGATCATACAGATCCGTCTAATTACAGACCAATATCTCTAACTAGCTGTGTCTGTAAAACCATGGAACGTATGGTGAATAATAGATTAACTTGGTATCTTGAAACCAACAACCCTATAACCAATATTCAATGTGGTTTAAGGAAAAATCGAAGTACCATTGATCATTTGGTACGATTAGAATCCTTTGTTAAAAATGCAATCGTAAATAAACAACATGCCGTATCGATATTCTTTGATCTCGAGAAAGCTTATGATACGACCTGGAAGCATGGCATTTTGAGGGATTTACATGACTTTGTTTTGAGAGGCCGTTTGCCTCTTTTTTATATCACGGTTTTTGAGGGGTGGTGGGGTAGCCTAGTGGTTAAAGCGTTGGCTCGTCACGCCGAAGACCCGGGTTCGATTCCCCACATGGGCACAATGCGTTAAGCCCATTTCTGGTGTCCCCCGCCGTTATATTGCTGGAATATTGCTAAAAGCGGCGTAAAACTAAACTCAGTCAGTCAGTCACGGTTTTTGAAAGACAGACAATTTCAAGTCCGAGTGGGTTCAACCCTGTCTGATCATTACAATCAGGATCAGGGTGTCCCACAAGGCAGTATTTTGTCTGTCACTTTATTTAGTATCAAGATTAACAGTTTATCCAAGGTTTTAAACGATTCCATTGATGGATCACTTTTTGTGGATGATTTTAACATTTCTTGTCGTGGTAAAAAATATGCATACTATTGAACGGCAATTGCAGTTGTGTTTAAATAAAATAAATAAATTGTGTCTTGAAAACGGTTTTACATTTTCCAAATCCAAAACTAATTGTCTACACTTTTGTAGAAAATATAAACCGTATAAAGATCCAGAACTATCTTTAAATGGCACTCCCATCAAAGTTTTTAAGGAGGCCAAATTCTTGGGTCTAATTTTCGACTCCCATTTAACTTTTTTGCCACATATTAAATCACTGAAAGTCAAATGCCTGAAGGCACTCGATTTGTTGAAAGTTGTTTCCAACTCAAAGTGGGGAGGGGATCAAGCTACCCTCCTCCACCTGTATCGATCATTGGTCCGCTCGAAACTTGATTATGGCTCCATCGTATATGGTGGAGCCTGCAAAAGCAACCTAAAACTTCTTGATTCTGTCCACCACCAAGGCCTAAGACTTTGTCTTGGGTCCTTTAGAACCTCTCCTATTGATAGTCTATATGTTGAAGCAGATGAGCCTCCTCTTACACAACGCCGTATAAAATTAACTTTACAGTATATTACAAAACTTTATTCCAATGAGTCAAACCCTGCATATAACTGTGTCTTTAATCAACTATATGAAGATCTGTATAACAAGAAGCCTTCTCTTGTTCCGCCTCTTGGTATAAGATTGAAACCTTTCCTTTCTGCTGCTGGCATTGAGCTAGAACATATAGCTCCTTCCCGTTTTCTTTCTTCTCCGCCTTGGCAATTTGTTAGGCCTGAAGTTGACCTAACATTAACTACATTTAAAAAAATCAGAAACAAATGAATTACAATATAAACAAGAATTTAGTCAATTAAGAAATAAATATAATACAAACAAATCCTTATTTACAGATGGGTCCAAGGATGGTGGCGCAGTGGCATGTGCCACTGTCGTTGGATCCAGAACAATATCTTCTAGAATACCGGATAACAGCTCTATATTTACAGCAGAAGCTAACGCCATCTTAACAGCTCTTAAATATATTGATAAACACCGTAAATATAAACAATATATCATCTTTTCAGATTCTCTTTCGTGTCTTCAGGCTATTAAAAATCTTTCTTGGAAACATCCACTTTTATTAGAAATTATTGAATTGTACAATGAACTTGCTACTGGCCAATGCGACATCGTCTTTTGTTGGTTACCCAGCCACGTTGGCATTTCTGGGAACACGATGGCTGATCTTGCTGCTAAGGCAACACTCAACAAATCTGTGACACCACTTCTTATCCCATACTCTGATTATAAAGCCAGCATTAGAACATACATCCGCGATCTAATGCAAAAGAAGTGGGACACCCAAGTAGGTATTAATAAATTACATGCAATGAAACCCTATATTGGTTACACCTACTTTGGTTGTCAGTCCAGATTTGAGGAGGTCATTATGCGACGATGTCGCATTGGCCATACCAGATATACTCATGAATATTTATTGAAGGGCGAAGATCCTCCGTTTTGTATCCCTTGTGATGAAAGGATCACGGTCAAGCATGTTTTGCTTGACTGCATTGAATATTCCATCACAAGGGATATCTATTTCAAATCCCAAAAAAAATAGAATTGTTGACTGATTTGTAAATAGTTAAATATTTTATTATTGGTAATTAAATTAGTAACTGAGATTGTTAGTGGCTGTACCCTCAAAGGGGGTTGACGTAGCGTAAAATTATTGTCCTCCTGAGGAGGTACGTAAGTCCCAAAACTTTCAAAGTCAATTTAAGTGTACCAGGTTTTTAATCGTAGAATATGTGTGCTTTTAATTTATGACTAGATTTCTCTTCTGTCGCCAATGGCTGAAGGGATGGTGTAAATCCAACTAGGGTCCATGCAGGTAGCAAAAGTAATGTAAGTCCCCATGGTTCCTAGTATGGTTATCTACCTTCAGTTGTTGGCGATATATAGCCCCTTTTTACATTGTATTGTCTTCTTTAATTGGAATATTTTAGCTTTGTTTGCTAGTTTTATATTGATATCTGTGATTGTTTAGTATTTTTACTGTCCTTCGTCGACAGGTTTTTATAATAACTATATATATTCTATTACAATGTCAAATGTTCTCGTCACGATATGGCTGAAATATTGCCGATGTGACGTTAAATAATAACTCACTCACTCACTACAAGGGAGTAAACGCAGTAATTGGAACAGTGATACAAACGCACGTGCAGTACGTGATGAGCGTTAACTTAGACCAACCCTACTTCTTCTCGGTGTTTCATTTAATGTCCATATCTCTTGTAATACAAACCAACAATAGCGATTTGTAACTATGATCGTCTGTTAAACAACTTTTATCCTAAGTTGAATAAAATTCTGCAATTTATATGTTTAATTGGCAAGGTAAAATTATGAGGATTCGCAATCTTAATTTCACTTTTTTTTATTTACTTTTTTGTTTAAAGTGAAATTCATCGGTACGTTTTCACTGCAAACAGACTATAGGCTACCCCTCCGCCCTCACGGGTTGACAAGGAATAGACCAATCGAATACGTTCAATGCATTTTAATACATTTAGTTCGGAAGTGGTATTACAACTGAGTGAATGAATGAATGAATGAATGAGTGCGTTCAGCGTTTCGCCGCTTTTTTTGCAATATTCTACCAATATCAGAAGGGGGACACCCGACATGAGCTTCACACAGAATACTTTTCGAATCGAACCCGTGTCTTCGGCGTGACGAGCGAACGCCTAACCAGTAGGATACCACATCGTCCCTGTTACAACCGATGATAACTACTTAAGCGCAATTGGCCTGTAACCTTAAATATGTGCAAAAGAAACAACAAAAACAACAACAAACAACAACAACGGTCTACTCCCATTTGCGAGATCTCCCAGTTGCGAGACTCCCAGTTGTGAGACAGTTTGAGAAGGTAAGGAGCAAAGAAAACACACCTTACTCCCCTATCTGATAGAATGGATTAACCCCAGCTAATTAGGGATTAGCTATTTAACTGAATCTTGTGGAGGTAGCTTAAAAGATAAAGTAATTAACCTACTCAGGTAAATGGCTTTAAAAAATAAACACTTTGTGTAGGTAACTTCGTGATCATTTGAAAGAGAAATTAATTGACCTACTCAGATTTACGTGCTTGAAAAATCTAGCAATAACTGTTGTAACTATAATTAATCCAATTGTATTTATAAACCTGTGACTGCTCTTTCCGATCACCATTATGGCAGGCCTTCAACAAGTAGAATACATCACCAGTTCACGAGGCAGTATTCAGGTGCTCTTTCAGGGTTACCTGTATTACGAGAACAAGCAGCGGCAGACTTGTACCTATTGGAGATGTACAATACGAACGTGCAACGGCAAATGCACTACAGTCGGCGACTATATTCGGAATGTGACTGATCATGACCATCCTCCAGTAGATGTCCAACGCCTCCGTTTTGTGAGCAGCCTGAGAAAGCGAGCACGGGATGAACCTGTACACGAGGAAACGCGTGTACAGGGAAATAGACAATCGACTACATAGACTCAAAGATCAACTTGCAGATGGAACGAAAATCCCATGCAGTATCTTGATGCAGTCGGCAAACTGCTGAAAATATGAAAAGTGTCAAAATTTCCAAATATGGACCCATGTAAAAAAATGTTTTATAATGACACACAAACATCATAATAACGCAAATCATCAAAATGTGTGAATAAAAAATGAAAATGAAGTATTAAGTGAACTATTTCTTCTGTGTAAATATAATGATAATCTTATTCAGTATTTCAGTATTTAACTTGTTTTTTATTGAAAACAATAAATGCTCTTCAATGAACAATGTCTTCTGTGTGTCATTAATGAACTATGCCTCCTGCGGGTACTCTTCAGAAACAGGGCTGTTCCCACTTTCATCGTAGGGATTTGGAAGCACCACCTGCGTGCACTGAACCATTAAATGTGTCTCGCAACTGGGAGTTCTCGCAAATGGGAGGACACTACAACAACAAACACCCCCCCCCCCCAACACACACACACACACACACACACACACACACTCATGAAAATATAAAAATCCCGGATCCGCCCTTGATTTACCTGTTGTAATAGCACCGATATAATGTTTAGGGCGGCCAGGAGACAAGTCGCTAAAGCTAGCAGCAGTTATGTCCCTATGACTACAGAAATAACTCAGGCTGTGTTATCAGTGGCTGAAGCGACGCGCCTGCACAGCGTACCCGGGAACAAGGTTGTCAGCGACGCGTTACACCCGGAGGTGAAGTGGGAGGAGTAAAGACGACAGGTATGTCATAAAGATCCTCTACAACACCTAGAATGGTGTTTAGTACTAAATGAAGCATAACTAGTCTCAAACTGCTTCTACATATTTGGCTTTGTAGACTAACCACCTTTTGATATAACCAGGGATAATCAATATAGTCTCCCTGATATAACCTGCAATGTCGCAATGCATGTCTCTATGAGCTGAACAAGGCTGGATAGGTTTGCGAGACACAAATACCCGTGCTTGTTGAGTATGGTACCTGTTACATGTCTACACAAGTTCATTGTATTTTACCCCGTGTAGCTCAGTGTACGGTTATATGTTTTCGTCAAAGAAGGAAATATCAATTTACATCTCCAGACTTAGTTACGCTCTACTAACAAGGAAGTGTATGTTACAGTCTGTGACACACAAGTGTGTGTACTGCACAACAAATTGATCGTTCAATTGAATAACCGGCCTCGCTCTATTATCCTGGGCTCGACCGTGAATGTTCGGGGCATTTATATGACAGGAAAACAATGCTCAGATATACATTTAGCAATGAGAATAGCAATTCTAAACATATCATGATAGGAACATGCCACGCAAGAAAAGGAAACCGAAGCCGCCTTCAAGGGACAGCGACTTGCAAGACGCAGCGTCATCTCCACCTTCAACATCACAAGTTCAAGATGATGAAGGTAAGTCATAACTAGCCGTTTGGCTTCAGTAAGACACAAATTCACGTCAGCGAATTCTGCAATATATTTTCATGAACTGATATCGCCCATGTGACCCCGTGACTTCCTGATCCAAATGTATAGAACACTGATATTGAACATTAAATATTTGAAAGGAAGGTTATTGTGAAATGTAAAAGATACATGCGGATTATGTCATGAAATAACGACAGTTATAACTATATTTACAGTTATACAGTCATAATAAATGGGGCTTCTAGTGGTAGTTCTACGTACAGTAAGTAATTATTCAGTTTGACATACAAGGAAGTCTGTGGGGATCGTCTACGCCTAGCTAATCTCTACCATCTGAGTCAGTCTGAAGGATAACCCTCAGACCAGTCGACTCGTAAAAGCGAGAATGGCGGACTGATTCAGGTGCAGTGTAAACATAATTCAGCAAGAAAACTAAACAAATGTACACTTTTTAGCAAGAGGGGCGCTTATCTCGTCAAAGCGCAACCGACCTAAATATACTCAGGGAAATTTAAAAAAAACATAGGTGGGTGACTGCTCCGTGAATGAAGGAGCCGACACGGTTCAGTGATCAGTAACTAACTCTGATAACAACAAACAAAACGTTTATCCGTACATAAACAGTGTCGTTTACTTCCGCTTATTATCATAATTATCAATTTATATATCTATTATAATATAACATCTGATAAACTAACATAAATATAGAACAGTTTGTAAATTATATAACTAATAACCTTTTCATGTTGTTATGCAAATATTTTCTTTCACTTTTATGTTATCACGCAATGAAGGGGTGGTGGGTGGGGTGGATGGGGTGGGGGAGGATCCTAGTGGTTAAAGAGTTCGCCCGTGACGTCCCGGGTTCGATTCTCCACATGGGCACTATGTGTGCAGCCTATTTCTGGTGTGCCCTGCTCTGACATTGCTGGAATATTGCTTAACTCACTCATTTATATCATGCAATGAAACTGCTAGGCTACTGTTTATCCCGAACAATTTAGTTTGTCATGTCCCGCTGTCTAAATCAGAAGTAACATGACCCTGGGAGCTGTCGATTCGTCACGCAATCGTCCTAATGAAACGGTCTTGTGCACCAGTTGTCGCCCTTAGTCTGTTTGTCTTTCTAGCAATTACTGTCTGCCTTTGAAATGTTAACAGCTTGTTCCACACTTCTGTGTGTTTGTCCAACCTGCCAACTGCATGCACGGAGAGCTTGAATTTTCCATTTTTTTATTGGCGGATCTGGCAGATCTATCTTTCGTATTTAGCCATTCCTCAATGTCACGAACATGCTCAGTGGGATTACAAACTGGAACCTGGCGGACTAGGACAGAGTTGCACCCGCCTCATACATCAAGGACGGTACATGCACGATTTGGCCCACCAGTGTCGTGCATTAAGACGGGTCACCGAAATATACTACAGCAACTCTGTCAAGAATGTTAGTGATATACCGTTCAGATGATGTCTGATGGTCACAAACAGAGGCAGACACCTACACGGACCCCGTGTACTTGCTTCTAGATATTCCGTTGTGCATGTGCAGTATTTATGCGGTGCCAAACACAAATTCGACCATCAGTCATGAACAAAAGAAATCTACTTTGTGTTTTGGTGATAACAACGGACATCTGGCAGGTTGTATGGCACTATACACGACTTAAGGCGATTTCCGACGTGGAGGCTATTCTGTTTTTAACACGCATTTTGACCTGAACGGATGAAGACTAGTATCGTAGGCATTTTGGAGATTGTTTTATCAGGGATATTTATATATATATTCCCTGAGTTAGGTAAATTGAATGTATGTCTGAATAATGACCTTGCTGTCAATAGAAATCGAATCAACGCAGTTTGACCACTGTCATCGTGACCATCATTTTTAGCTGCCTATAATCAGAGTTAAACAATGGCCGGTCGGCCACTGAAGCATGACATTGTTGATGAGATACGGGATACTGCAGGCTGACCAGTGTCCACCCGGGAAAGCCACATTTGAAAAATACGAATTGCCGCTAAAGCCACATTTAAAGTGCAAACCTCGGTGCCGCGAACCGCCGCGAAAGACACATTGACTAAGGGAATCAATACATTTTTAAAAAATACGCTTCACCCATTGATCAGAACGGGTTAAAATTGTTTTAGTGACTTGTCCTTTCTTTGTTTAGTTAACATATGATGGGTGGCTTCTTTATTCTCGTTGAAGTTTTTAGTTAACATTAATCTTTTTTATGTTCATTTTGTTCTTTAATCTTGCATTCTCTGCTTTTAATTAGAAGAGAAAAGTAGTGTACAATGTCTCCCTGGTGCCTTTTTCAAAATGGCGGCACATCCGGCCCCCTTGGGCGCCGCCATCTTGGATCAGTCATCTCCGGTCAGGGGAGATCACTCGGGTTCCGGGTCCGGTGTGTGCGCACGCATGGTGATGACGCCACGTCCGGTTCCGGTGGGTGCGCGCGCATGACGATGACGTCACCTCCGGACCAAGATGTCGGACACGTTTCAAGATGGCGTCCCATCCGGTGGGATCGCGTGAGATCTCGCGTGATCTCGTGGATTCTCGTGGGATCTCGCGAGCGTATACGTATTTCAAGATGGCGGAACGGACGAACGGCGGACGGGAAGGAGAGGGACGGGAAGGAAAGGAGAGGAGAAGGAGAGAGAGGGAGGGAGGGAGGGAGGGAGAGTTGTGAGGGGGACGATGGCGTGGCTAGAGAAGTGTGTGTGTGTGTGTGTGGTTAAAAGCTTTTGTCACTCAGGTTTTCTTTCGAGCGAGGTGGGTGGCCCTGAAAAGGGCCGTTGGTATGTGAACAAGACAGGTTAACATTCACAGAGGAGATTGAGACCCCGAAAAATAAATTTTCCGGGGCACACATCATCGTGCTGTTGTTGCCCTCTCTTGATGATGCCTTCCCCACAGTAGAGGCATATGTAAAAGGCATCTCCTTGGACGACATCAAAGCAATTCGAGGGATATGCTTTGAAACAGGTAGGACAGATAATCAGTCGCCATTTTGATGACCATTTTGGTAATGTTTTCGATGTGGCTGCCATTGTTGGTCGTGGTGGTTGTGGGGCTACCGTGTCTGCTGCCGTAGGTGGTGGTGGTGGGGCTGCCGCTGCTTCTGTTTCCGTTGTTGGTACCGGTTCTGCAGGTGTTGTTGCTGCCTCTTCCATTTTGATGTCAGCCTTCCCTTGTAAGGTAGGGCTGCACCGCAAGCATTGCCGTCTACCACAGTTTTTCCGGTAAGGCGCGGGTCGCATGACTTCCACTTTTCTTGTGTCCATGTTGCATCAAGATAGCCCTCACTGGCCCATGCTGGAGTTTATATGCAGGCGACGAGACAGCGATGACGTGTCGTCGATGACGTGGTATCGATGACGTCATGGTCGCGCGTGAGGGTAATGACGTAGTACCGATGACGTAGTCAGAGGTTGTGGCGACGTCATGGCCTTTGATTGGCTTAGCTCTCCTATATCATGAGGGAGAGACAGGGAAATGCTATCACTTCATCATCATGGTTGAAAACTGGGATCTGGAACTCATTTCTTTGGAGACAGCATCACCACCCTTGCCTGACAGTCTCAGCGATATCATGGTTGCCTGCCCGTCTACGCCAATGGGAGCATCGAGTATAATGGTACCTTTCAATGTTTCTACTGCAAGACAGTGTTAAAGGACACTTATATCAGGCGTTTGACTCATGGAAGCAAGTGCCCCGTAAAAACAAAGATGGCCATTCATCCCTGTCAGTGGAGGTGCCAGCTCTGGTCCCTCGAGTGAGGTACACTCTAAAAAACGGCCCTTTTCAGGGCCATCCATCTCTCTCAAAAGAAGGGTTCATTTCAATGCCAACAACAATAACAACGCTAGGTTGACATTTTTCAAACGTTTTATTTTCCCCCGCTAACAAGAACACTTTGACAAAAGAGGCAGGATTAGGGGCGTCCCTGATCTTTTGTTTACAAACGGTATGAACTGTAACATCATAACTGTAACACCATAACATCAGAATGATAAGGTTGTGTCCTTTGGCAGGGGTGTGGATCATGGCCAGCGTTGTTGTCTGTCAGGCGTGTGGGTTGAAACCGACGTCTTACACAATCTTCATTGACGAGGGTATCGTAGGGATCAAACTGTTCCATCACTTCGTCAAAAGACCATCCACGGGCACGATGAGCCAGTACATACAAACAGTACACCCCACAAGAGGCACTGAACCAGGGTTGAAGTGACTGACCATTCCACTGTTGTTGGAGCCATCCGGCGAAGGTCATGACATTCCGAAAGTCTGGATGCTGTTGATAGGGATGGAGTCCATAATTGTCAAAGTAGTCAATGGCACCTGGTACTGGGCAATACACGCACACCCAGTGTTGTCCTGGGAGATGACTGGGGTCCCGTGTTGACAATGTAGGCTTTAGGATAAAGCCCCTCCTGCTGTTCACACAGCACGGTGGTGGCAAAGTGATATCAGGCAAAGGTACCTTGGTAGAGGGCTTGCAGCAGGGGATCCTGTTGTACATAGGCGTTCAAGTGTCTGGTCGTCAAACCACTGTTGTCGTCCATCCTTAGACCATCAGAGCGTTGCGGAACCGATCAATTTCCAATACGCTTTCGTATTCCTCGTAGCAGACGAGCGTGACGGGGGCGTGGTAGGGCTTCTGCAAACTGAAGTTCAAGTCTCAACTTGCCCGTCTGTCGTGGGTAGTTATACCCTTCATCTGCGCCCAGATCCGCCGTCAGATCCACCACCCACACAGTGAATCCGTTCCTGAATTCGTCCAGGGTGAGGTTGCAGGGATGTTCTTGCCACAGGTGTCCCGTGTTGCAGAACAGGTTCATGTACAACTGTTTGAGCGAGGCACTGTTGTTCTGAAAGTCACTTTTGATTTCAGTGCCATGCACTTCTTGCCCATTGAGTTTCAGCTTGAGGCTGGTCACGTTGTTGTGCTTGAAATGGTAGTGGTTCTTTTCCTTGCTGCCAGCAAAAGCATCATTGTCCACCAATCCCAACACCACTCGTTTGGGCAGTTGGCCTCCAATCAGTTGATCTTTGTGGAAATCGCGTCCTCCTCATGAAATGTCGTGGCTGTGACTTGGACTCGGGTCAAAGGATATTGGGCCGTGACTCCTGGTGACATGTGTTTCACGTGTTGTTCCCGTATGACAGGATCAATGTTGACTTGGCGCACGTAAAACTCGGCTTTGGTCAGTTCAAATCGACACTCGGCATCTCCAGCACTCATCAAGTAGAAATCACTTGGGCTGCGAATCAGTTCTAGTTTCTAGTTTCCATCCACCAGGTACCGGTCTTGGAGAAACAGGTCACAGTGGAGACGTCCTGTCAGTTCCACGTCTAGGGTGGGTAGAATGACCCCTCCTCGTGTGACAAGTCCTGCGTTGGCATTCTGGGCGACAGCATTAAAGTGATCCATTTTTCCAGCTTCATCGGGGTACCATCCTGGACACTGGAGATGGGTCCCTTTGGCTGCCTTCCCATAACTCAGCAACATTTCCAAATAGGCTCGGTAGGGATAGGTACCCATGGAAGGAGTAATTTCCAGCTGGTTGTGTCCCACTTGCACACGCACTTCACGAAAGAGGGAATGCATCATGTTGTTCACCCTGGACACGGCGAGTGCCCCATCGCCATCACGAACTGCATCCGTACCATCTGTATTCTTGATTTTGAGGCAGATGCGGAGGTAACACCGGCTCAAATCGATGTAGGCATTGACAGGGTTAGCAATGTTAAATTGGAGGGGGCCCGCGACCGAAGGGGGTGCCAGAGGGTTTTTTCGAATCCACTGACCTTCTTGGACGGAAGTCACTACAGGGGGCACAGAAAAGAGATCCAGTTGGGCCTTGGAACATTCGCAGGCATCTCGGCGCATCATCTTGACAGCTGATCTGGACAACAGGTCTGCACAACAGGTCTTGACTGTACGGTGTCTGGTGTTGAACTAAACTCCTTTCCAATCGGGGTGGGGCTTTAAACAATGGTTTACGTTTTTTGGTGAATCCCACGGTCTGTTTCCGTTTTCGTTTGCGAGCGGGTGATCCTGGTGGCGGTGGGTGCTGTCGCAAGGTGGCAAGTAAGGCTTGTTTCCCATGATGTTTCAAACTGTCCCCCACACTTCAATGTCCTGAACTGATATATTGCACCAATCCTGGCAACATCTTGACGCCTGTTTTGAGAGAGCTGATTTTCCCACCGTCTTGAGGATGGAGAGCGCTGAACATCCCAAGTTTCCCAAGATGTTACCGAAACCTCTCCCTCGTTGATGAATGCGTCTTCGGTACACGGTTAAGCTGCCTCCTCACTGCTGGCCACCCAAGCCGCTGCTGTTGCGGTGTCTGATACACTGGTGTCCTACCATGCTGATTCTCAGTACGTACCCAGGCGATGGGGACAGAAATGAAGTGTCACGATGGTCTTCCCAGTCTGGAATGGCACGAGACGTCCTACGTCATCCGTTGAATAGATTCGAATGGCATCTGTGGTTCCCTGACGCAATCCCATGTAGCGTAGGTGCTGAGGGGTTTTGATCACGACGCTGTCTTCCATCATCTGACGCGACACGGGGACATACATCAGTAAGGGAGCCATGGTATCCCCGACGATTTGATCTTCCACCGCATCCGAGTAGACGTACACGGTATCAAAACCAGCCAGATGGTGTGCTTCCTGTTCACCCACGACGAGAGGACGGTCAAACACACCCACCTGGACAGGCTGAGCAGAGACATGGCTTATTTCTTCTGCTTCATCCACCATGGGGAGCTGTATGATACCCGGCATACGTACTAAAGGAGCAGGCAACACCAATCGGGTGGTGTAGGCAGACCTGATGCCATCGTGGTCAGGTTGGCTTGCGGTTCTGCAGGAGGAACCCGTGATGGCTCTGCACATGTCTTCCGGGGTGGGAGCATAAAAGTTGACATGCGTTTTGCCACACATTTCAAATCGGAGGTCTTCTTTGGGGTAGTTCACGGTGACGCTGAAACGACCTCTACCATCCTGCTGGTAAACATCAGCTGTATGCTTTTCCAACAGCCGTGCACAGGTGTGTTGAAGCAGGATGTTCAGTCTCTGGACCAGTTGGCGACTGGAATACACTCCTTCTGGAATAATGACCTTTTCGCTGACTACTCTGATGATGCCTGGGTTCTTTTCTGTCACGGTCGCATCGAGTGCTGCTGAACTGTAAATCCGGGTCATGCGTTCCAAGTTCACATGAAGGACAAACCAGTTGAAGGGGAACCACACATTGTACCATGTCATCGGAAAATGAAGTTCACTGACGCCGACTTCCCACTCCTGGCGATTCACTTGAATGGGAAAGGGTAGTTTGACTTCGTAATGATTCACTCTGTTGTCGGGATGAACATCCATGGACGCATCGCTGGGTAAGGTCACGTAAAAGTCTCGCTTGGAAAACAAAGACACTGACACCTTTCTCTCTCTCTTAGGGAACCAGGCTGGATACAGAGGGGGTTGGAGATGCAGTCGAGGAGGGAGGCAACGTGGATGACGACGATGACACCAACGTGGGTTGTGGGAGCAAGTACCCCAAGCAACTGGCCAACAAGGCTGTCCACAACTGTTTCTCACCGTTGTCCAATGCCAACTGAACCATGCTCATGATGACCACGCCATATATCAGAAACACTTGGGAGAAAAACACCACTTCACTTCGTGGCAAGTCCATGCCAAAGCAACATCAGCGTGGGGATGACTTGCTGCCCTCCTTGCACCTTGAGATCGGTTCACTCTGCATGATGGGGGATGCTCCACTGATGGTGGGAGACTGGAGGCCACGCTATTTAAAGACCAGATGAGCAGCAGGGATCCATGAATCAAAGCTGGCAGGGTATCCTGACCATCTCACCAACACTTCATCCTCTTTTTGACGACGTCGTCGTTTCAGGACCTGATCCACTTTGTACATGTCATCCGTTTTCTGAATGGGTTGCAGTTCTTGCGGGTAAAAGGTGCCTTGCAGCACTTCTCCATGATCATCTGTCACTCGGTAGACAGGAGGAAGATGTCCTTTCACCACCCGATCCACGGTGAACAGTTCGGTGGTCCAGTTGGGAAGGTACCCTTTGTCAAACGTGCCCTTGGTCTTGTTCAAACGGACACGGGTCCCGGGTAACAAGAGAGGGTGCTTCTTCTTCTTCTTCTTCTTTGTCTTGAGTTGGCGCTGCTTCTGCTTCTTCTGTCGTTCCATGTGATCCAACACCCGAATTTCATCGTAGGGAGCGTTAGGACGTACATCCACGGGGCGTTGTCCAATCGTACGATGGACGTGATGATTGTAGGAATGCAACAGTTGGGGTAATGCCTTAAGGTAGTGGCGTGTTCCCTGTTGGGTGAAATAACGCCACATACGGTTTTTCAACGTCCTTTGAAAACGTTCCACCACAGAGGCTTTGGTTTCTGGGTTTTGACTGGTGTAGAAATGAATGCCCCGTTTCTTGAGGAAGGCTTGAAAAGGTGCATTGACAAATTCAGTCCCTTTGTCTGTCTGTAACTGGGATGGCACACGTCCTTTGGCTTGTTTCAGGATCCGTTGAAAGGCCTCTATCAAAGTGGCACCGGTCTTGGCTTTCATGGGCTGCACCCAAGCCATTTTGGAGAAAACATCGATGACACACAGCAAATACCGGTAGCCTTGGTTCTCTTTCTGATACGCAAGGAGATCGCTCAGATCGGCTTGCCACAATTCATCCACGCCACCCACACGGTAATGATCCCTGGGAAACGAGCGTCGGGCTGGTTTGTGCAAGGTGTACGTGTCCTGGGTTTTCAACCATTGGCGAACCTGGCGTTGTGTGGGCCTTGGCCCCGTTTTGCTTCCCCCATTCTTGGGTCCCCCATTCTTGGGTCCCCCCTTTCTGGGTCCCCCCTTCCTGGGTCCTGCTTTGGCTTGATGTCCTGCTGCTGCTTGCCACAAGGCAAGCAATCCCCCATAGCCTGCTGGGTGTTTGGGATCGTAATAGGTGTGGTGGAGCCATCGTGTCCATGCAGGAGACAAAGACGATGATGCTTTGCTGTTGTTGTTTCTCTTTGGACGTCTCATGGTGACACTGTCGTTGGCATCACCCTCTGCTCCCTTTTATTAAAAGTGAATCCACTGACGAACCCGGTTGAGAGGGGAGGAGGAGGAGGAGGGGGTCTCTGCTGCCTTCTTCTTCTTGGGTTCCAGAGGAAGGTTGGATGCGGGTGGTGTCAAAAACAAGTCAGCGGGTGGGTGTTGATGCTTCAGGGGGGTGTCAGGGGGCTGGGTGGATGGCCCTTTGGTTTTCATCATCCAGGACCAACGTAGAGGGTTACCAATCAGTTCATGGGGTACGTTGCTGGAAGCGAGATACTGACCCAGAATATACCAACCCTGTGGAGGGTCTGATTTGGTGCGTTGTCGAACAAGATCATTGATGAGATCCACCATGTGCGTCCCAGGCATGGGTTCCCCTTCCACCACGTTTTTCAAACTCAGGTTTGCACGAATACGACTTCATTCTTGGAATGGCTTTGACATCATCGGGTTCTTCATGCAGAATGGCTTCGACAAAGAACAAACAAACCATGAGCCACTGCTCTACCATGTGGCTTCGAGGACTCATTCTTAGGAAGGCGCTAATCTCTGCGGAGGCATATGCAGATACACGACTCAGTAAGTAAACCGTACTTACGGTGAGCTTCCATCCCTGGGGAGTTCCAACCCTGGGAGTGCCACAGCAAAATAACTTGGTTTCCGACCCGGAAACCTAACGGAAACAAAATGGAAACTTACGTTTCAACTAGGTTTCCGGAACGTTTCTCTACATTTCCTTCAAGTTTCGGAAAACGGAAACTTACAAATTACCCAGAAACCGGCATGGCTCCAGTGCGTTTCCGTTACCCAGTTTCCAGTAAGGGCTCCAGTGCGTTTCCGTTACCCACTTTCCAGTAAGGCTCCAGTGCGTTTCCGTTACCCTTTTTTCCTGTAGGGCTCCAGTGCGTTTCCGTAACCCAGATTCCTGTATGGTTCCAGTGCGTTTCCGTTACGCAGATTCCTATGAGGTTCCATTGGGTTTCCCTTATCCTCTACTTTTAGATGGTTTCATATACATTGTATTTACTTAGTTCAATTATGATTCCCTGTGAATTTCGATTCTATTAAACACATTTTTACCATGTTCCATAAGTTTCAGTAAATCAGAATCTGTATGGCTCCATTTGGTTTCAATCATTAGTATTCAGTGATTACCATATGTCCATATTAAATTATGATTATTCAACTAAATTAACTGTAGGTGAAATGAGTGTATTATATATTTGAATGTATTAGGTCATATATTTTATTCATGATACATTGAAATATAAAATAAACTCATTTCAACTACAGTTACCTCAACACCACATGGACATAGAAATAAATAAATACAAAATCAGGCATGTCAGTCGATTTCTCTTTATTCATCATAAACATATATATCATATCTATGTTTCAATGTTACAATTAAACATTGACACAAAGCACACAGAGGGACAGAGAGAGAGAGACAGATGTTCTTGTCCTAAACAGGGTGACTACAGGAGATAATTGAATGTACATTTAGACATTCCATCCTATTCCTTAGACCTTTAGGTGGTTGGAAAGAATCTTGTTGGATGGTGTCGCAAGTTCTTCATTTTGCCGCTGGAGCTTCAGACACCACTGGCGATGTCAATTCTAGGGTTAGGACTGCAGCCACCTTCTGTGTTCTTTTCTCTGCCCAGCTAGATTCTTCAGGAGGTGTTGGAGTTTCTGGGGAAAAAATGAAATTCTTGCACTGCGAAAGTTATGTCCAACATTTATTCTTGAGTGCGGCACTTGTTCTAATTAGATAATGGCACATTACGGTGATGGGTAATGACATGTGATAAGGAAAGTTATTCTATTACAGGTATATAGCGATGTGATAATATGTAGCACATCATGTCAGTGACTCAGAGTGTTTTAAACTGGTGTCAGGAAGTGTATAAACCGGTACAAATTATATTATATTATCCAGTTTCAGGAACTTACAGATCAGATTCTTTTGTTTCTTTTAGCATCTTTCCTGTGTTTTCTTTTTCCTGTAGTCTGCCGACGTCGATCGTCCGTCTTGCTCCTCCAGATTATCCAAAAGGTTTCTATTAAGAAAAGCAAATGAATTAATTTTCATTCGTCCAATAATAGATTATTACAATCCGACACAAACATTCATAAGTTTGATTATTATCATGTATCAAACCAAGTAATAAGTAATTGTGGTATATCAACTACATGTATATGCATTACAGCCCGGGCGTGAGAAGTTTTCTATTAACATGACAGACATGATTATGCAGCAAATATGCACTACATAATAGTATGCTATGTCAATTCTACTGCTAGTACTAGATACCTGACAATGAAATAATTAGATGCTAGATTTACCCAATGGTGAACAAGAAACGAATTAATTGTATTTTGTAATACTGACGTCTCTAATCTTATAAAACCCAACATATATCTTGATTATGATGACGAGCAATAATAAAACTTGGGGTAAGTTTTTTTACCTTAAATAAGTAACTTTTAATCGATTTTCAAGGTACTCCGGGAACTTTTCCACGATTCTTCTCACAATAGCCTAAAACAAAAAAGAGACACACATTTGGATCATGAACATATGTCGATTGGTAATATTTTCCACCGGAATATCATGAACTACTGGTTTCATCTATATTTGTTGCCTTGCTGGATACATGTATAACAATTTCTTAAAATATATTTTTATTCCATCAATAACCTGGAAAGGTGAACAAGCCAAGTGTCTTATATAAACGCCGCTCCAGTACACGGTTCCAATATAGCTGGATACATAATTGAAATAGTCCGACAAGAAAAGAATAATACTGAGACAAAATTACACTCAGAAAAATGACTGAAGAATAAATATTTGGTTATGGTGTTGGTTGTGCCCAGCAACAAAATGAGCTGCCGCAGGAAATCAAAATTATATAAACATCAGACTCAACGTACAGGAACACAAGGGTATACTTGTCTTATGGTTATATTTTAACGGAATGTTCAGTTGGTATCAACAATAATGTTGTTTTTAACAAATTTCACACCAAAATGCAATGTTCACATTTATAACCGTGGAGAAATCGAAATGCGAGCGCACAGTTATTGTTCCGGGTCGATAAAGGTTCCGGTCCTACCGAAAACGTTTAATTCGATGCAAACTGACTGCTATGATAAGAAGAAAATAATTAATTTTATCTGAAACCTACCTGCCAATTTCTCTGTCTTGGGTTTCCGTTGAGATCGCTTGAGTTCCCGGATCCTTGTTTCCAAAGCTTCGATTGTCAAGTTTGTTGCCATGTGTCAAGAAAACTATAGCAAGTATACAGACTGCCATTTCTACTACCTTACTCATAGACTTACTTGGAAACAACAACGAAGTTTTTCCAATCTCGCGCGTGTACGTTTGAACAAAGATGGCGGCATTTCAAACAAAGACTTATGGGTAGTCAATTAGGTTGCTTTTTCATTTCTATTGTTAACATGCCAATAGTCTGCTTACCCTTCATAAGCTTGGAAAACACTGATAACTGCAATATGTGTTTATGTAAATTGTTTGTTTTTACAATGTCCGTCACATCTCGCGACGCCTCATTCATTCCAAATCAAGCGCTTCCGGTTTCGGGACAACAATTTTAGTATGTGGTCTGACTGCAGCACATGCTACCTCGACCGTGACGGACCCAGGGACTGGGCAGCTGTCAACCATGGCAGAATTTCCTCAACCTAAAGAATGAAACAATAAGAACAGTGGATGTATTTCCCGTAATAAAGTACTCCAGCAGTCAGTATAAGCATTTTCAGATTTTCCGATGCGTTGATCGTATATGACCGATCCAATTTGATCCTATTTCTGTGTATTTCTTTAAAACTATTACCTGATATTTAATCATATCAAGAACAATGTGATGGTTGATGACCTATTATTTTAAAACCACACAGCGTAGTTCCCTAAGATTCTGTAGGCAATTAATATTGCATGCAATACAACGATTTTACCCGTTTATTTGTCATCATTCACTTGATGGTCATCTAGTGAACTACATGTTATGTAATATATGCATGCAGGAGCAGCAAAAGGAATTATCATCTGAGTTAAAAAAAACAAACACAGATGAAAGGATTAACCGATAACACGCTAATTGATTTATTACTTTTATCTGGCACGACGTCTTTGTCAAAAGGGCCCGTCAAAAGATAGTCTTTATGTTTGTAGAGTTACTAACGTATACTGAAAAGGTTTAGTATTTGTGATGTTTGTAACAACAATATGGGCGACACACAGGGATTTTCAGGTTGACCGCACTTGGAGAACAATGGACATAATCTGTGATGATAGGCATGCAGATAACACTAAATTCCCAAGTTGAAAACAAAATAAATTGTACAACGAAGTGATATCCGTAGAAAATACCAGATGTTAGATAATATTTTACATATTCATGACATGGCAACAACAATAAATCCATTAAAATGACATCTTGGGACAAATTATTTTAATCATCATAATGATAAAACAATTTCATAATACATGTACATAGTACACATCCAGTCTACACTGCAGTTTCATTAAGTATGAAACTGTTTCTGCGAACGCAAGTACATTTATTCTTCCTGTTGACAAATCATCAGCGGTATTGTAAAATATATTTATCTTACATGTTGTATTCATTGTCACAGCGGATATTTATAAATTATACCTTTATATCATTGTTGACACGTTCGTGGTTACGTATGTCAGGATGTTTGGTGACTATATCATCGACAGTGGAGACAGCTGAGACTCTACAACATACCCAGGGCATTCAAGATGTACCATCCATACATACAGCCTCGTGAAGTCGGAATGAACTTTTACTTTACACATGTAACTGCTGTTTTGCCACATTAAAAGTGATGACCAGTATGGCCAGCATATTATGTACCAAAATTGATGAGTTGGTGCTTACTCATATCAATCAAAACAAGCTAAGTGAGTTCAATTTCATTGATTTTCATCATGTAAGTGAACAAGGGGTGAGTTCGTGTCACCTATTTCGCTAGGTATTTCAGAAAGCTAATCCCTTAAAACAACATGCACCGTTTTTAAAGAATTGTGACATTATGTAAAAACTTGTCAGGTGTATTATCTTCGGTGTCCAGTGAAACCCGGTCACGTGACATGGAACAGTTTTGGGGGGCAGCTGCCGATGAATGGCATATCGTTCCATTATGTGGATACTGATGGATACTTTTCTCGAACAAGGTAATAGCCCATTGGTTTTGTTATAACGTTAGTTGGTTTTAAGTTTGATATCTGTATTTTGTTTTCATTTTTCTTGTAGCATTCAACAAAATTATTCCACAAACAACATTGTTCATGTGAGTTATAAGCCCCCACCTCTCCTCTTCTGACAATCCAGGGGCGTACCCAACAAGATCTCTTAGTTTTTTCAGGTCGTAAACTGATTCCCTTATATTTTAGGTACTCTATGACATATCTAGAAAGCCATTTAATAAATTTATGAGGTTCCAAAGTGCTTATAAATATGATAATGTCAATTCAAACTTACCGGGACTTTTAAACGTAGTCTTCTTGTTATTTTAATTTTGGCTAACAATTCTTACAATCGCCAACAGCAGAAGGGATGGTGTAAATCCAACTACGGTCCATGCATGTAGCAAAGGTACTGTAAGTCCCCATAGTCCCTAGTATGGTGATCTACCTATTAGTTGTTTGCGATCTGTAGCCTGTTTTTATATTGTATTGGCCAAATAGTGCTAACAGTTTTAACTTTCGACACTAGTTTTAGCTGTAATTGTGATATTCTAGTTGTTTTACTGTCCTTCGTCGACAGGTTTTATACTATACATATATTCCATTTCAATGTTACATATGTTCTCGTCACGATATGGCTGAGATATTGCCGATGTGACGTTAAATAATAACTCACTCACTCACTCAAATTTCAACCTTTCTCAAACTGTAAACATTGGCTCGTCCACTATTTCAAACTGTTGCACTGTCAACAACTACTTCCAAGAAAATAAGTAGATCAGACGAGTCCATTATAGTGTAGCAAGGGTGGTAGAGTAACACGGCACACAAAACAATAGGCTGGTGTCGGTATTGTGAAGTTGCGATAATATTAACAAAGCTCTTAGGTATCACATTATTGTATTGGATAAACAGTAGTTTGTTTTCTTCGGACAGAATATATTTTTTTTTAAGTGGCAGTGTTAAACAAAATACGAACGGCACCTACCACTCCCTTCACGTCCCATGCCGGATTACGTAGTTTCTTCCGCAGACGTTCGATTTTAAATCGGTTACGGTAGAATGGAGATAAACAGACTGTGTTTGGAAATTAGATGAATGTTAGACCGAATTGATAGTCTCTAAATTAATCATTTGAAACTTCACGCTACGCGTTCGGATTCATGCTACGCGTTCGGATTCAAATGAAATTTAGAGACTATCAATTCGGTCTAACATTCATCTTATATTTAAACACAGTACGTTTATCTCCTAAATACATGTATTTAGTATCGTAGGCAATTTGGCGCAGAGTGTATCAGGGATATTTATATATTCTATGGGGTATGTAAATTAAATATGTCTTTCTAAGTAATGGCCTGGCTGTCAATAGAAATGAAATCAACGCAGGTTGGCCACCAACACAGAATCATTTGCAGTTCGGTTGCCAATAATCACAGTCGGATAAGGACCGGTTGGCCACTGAAGCATGGCACTGTGGATGGGGTAGGAGATACTGCATGTTACTTTGTGTTAGTAGATTTTTTTAATCTCGGACTGCGGCTAGGCAGGTTGGCTGACCATCGCCTCCCAAATCCCACCTATCCATTACGATATTACCATGTAGTTGCCACATCAAATCACGAATTTAGGGTTGTGGACCCACTGATGGATTTCTGTATTCGAAGAGACAGTTATCCCAACTAAAACAGCCTGCAGCTGGTCCCCCTTGTATCCGTCCAACGGGTGGGGTCCCTTGGTCCGGTCTACATGTGACTGAGCATAACCAATGGTTGTCACCTGTATGCAAGTCACCACAAACAAAATCAACAGAACAACGCATTTCCATGTAATGGAGCTGAGTAACCTCTGATATGCGATAGGTATGCTTTCGTCGTGACTAGTTTTGTTACTTTTACATTTGACACTAATAAACAATTGCATGCCACGGTTGTGCTTCATATCGATAAGCAATTTTATTGACATAATATTTAAAAACCTTGCTTACATATGTTTTCAGTTTTACCAGAGATGCACTGGATTTGATAAACTGTTTACCTCAACAAATACAAGATAAAACGAACGTTTTACCTTTGATATCAAAAGTTTGTTTCCAATATTCCACATGATTCTAGTTGGAAGAATATCGAGCATTACTTCCTGTACGATTCTAAATGGAGGTCATCATGGAAAATGTTACGGTCATTTTGAATAACATTACGTTTCATTCTATACAGGTACAGCAATGGTGACTAAACGGGCACTCTCATTTAGTTTTGAGATGCTGTATCTACTTTACTATAAACCTACAGCTACAAAGCCATATAACGCGAGTCATTAAAAGGCATTTAATATGAATTATCAAGACGTATCTGCATGATTTTGACACTCGTAAATAGTGCTTGGTAACGCTAATAGCTCTTCCCCCGTTGGGACCCGGGGTAGAATGTGTCCACAACACCCCATTGCTGGTCGTAAGAGGCGAGCAAATTTGGCAACCTGTTTGCCGTGGGTTGCGTCACTGTGTCGGTGGAGGACGGGATTCTGGTGGTTGAGGGCACTGGCACTGGAATAGTGTTCTGTGCCCAACACATCACTTCGACCCTTGAAATCTATCAATCGGCTGTTCATGAGAATGGAAACATTCATTAAACATTAGTATGAATTGTTGATATATACCTCTGAGTTCCGTTGTCCTTAACAATACTAAAAGCGGCGTAACACCAAACTCAGTCGGTCAGTCAGTCCTTAACAATGTGAAATGGGCCGAAACAGCATGGCACATCTTTAAGATATTATGGCTTTTCAAATCTGTATTTTCTTGACTATAACACTCTTGTAACCCCGGTGTTGGTTTTCATTTCAGCCATATCGTGACTAATTCAAGTTATATTTTTATAATAATTAAAGGTAAATTATAAAAAATGTCAACAACGAATGGTAAAATAACTAGATGATCACAAAGAGAGATTTAAAACTAGTATGAAAATCTGAAACTGCTTAGCTGTATAAGACAAGATAT